CATAAGCTGGCCAAACTTGGCCTCCAAAGCAGTCCTCAACTGGTGCTCCAGCGAAGGGCTTTGACAGTGGTCCGGGTTCAGGGTTTAGAGTTTAGGGTTTAGGGTTTAGGTGTTAGGATGTAGACTGAAAGTTTTTCTTACACAGACCATAGCGCCAAATTGAACCAAACGGTATGTTTTTCCATCGCTGTTGGGGTCTGTTGCTGAGATAATATATATATATATACACACACATACACAGAAGGAAAGAACGAACGACATAATTCTTCATGGAGAGATGGGTAGATGGACAAAATGGATGGATAGACAGATTATTAGACTCGACCGACAGATGAGTAGATAGATAGATAGAGAGATAGATAGATAGATAGATAGATAGATAGATAGATAGATAAATAGACAGGCAGATATTTGAATAGATAAAAAGTCGACGCCAGCAGTAGTATTCGTTCTATACTTGACTAGATGACTATATACATGCTGCAGTCATGACTGTCAGTACCCATACCGTGACCACTGGTACTCGCATGCTGTCGCACTTGCCACTCGAACTTCTTGAGCGTCATGCGTACTCGAACGTAGGCTTAAAGCAAGCTAATCCTATGTTGCTTTCGTTGTCTGCGCAACCTGCATTATTGCATATCCCTGCTTCTACGCACTCGTAAACCTGCACGCAGGCCTTATATAAACTCGGTAATTAAACCCTAACCCCTCTTCCGAGGTTCCCCAGTAGTACCCTTTTGCCCTTTTTCTTTTTGGGTTCCCTTATTAAAGCCAAATAGTAGCAAAAAAGGTACCTTTATTATTAAGGGGCTACTGGGGAACCTAGCTTCCAAACATCACAGCAAAGGTGAAGCGACTCCGGTCACTCCAGACCCAGTCTTCGCCGAGGCAAGGATTCCCCTATAGGGTTGTTTCAAAGTGTAGAATCTCCATCACGTTGTGCATTTAAAGGCGTGTTCAGAGGGCGTCACAAGGTTGCCGAGTTGTGCTTCACATGTGTTTTATGTAGAGTTCTGCGCCAGGTTCCTGAATTTGTTGCAGTCTGACGGAGTCACTGACGTGTGGTTTGAGAGGGCTTCGGAGTGTTTAGAAGTTCGGCGGGATGGCAAAGGATTTCCATGGGCACTCATGTCAGTAGATGGAGGTTCATGGGTGGTTTTCCGTGAGTTATAAGTAGGGTAACTGTATTTATCACCCACTCATGTTAGGGGACTTAAACCCCACCCATGAACCTCGAAGTAGATGGACAGGATGGCGCTGTGTTGATCGCTGCGCTCAAATATAGGGGCCTTAATAGTTACCTTTTCTGTTTTGGGGGTTCCTTATTCTAATCATAGTATGACATACCCCACCTAAACCTTAAACCCTAAACCCTAAACCCTATACCCGAAAACCCTATCCCAATCATTAAGGCCCCCACATTACACCCTCGGCGCCGGTTTTGCCATCGGACTTGTAGCTATCGGCTCGGGGCCTGGCAAAGGCAGCCGAAGGATTTGGGGGTGGAGGGTTTAGGGTTTAGGGTTTAGGGTTTGGGGTTTAGGGTTTAGGGTTTAGGATTTAGGGTTTAGGGTTTAGGGTTGAGAAGGAGTTTAGGGTTTAGGGTTTGGGGTTTAGAGTTTAGGGTTTAGAGTTTAAGGCCCAGGGTCTAGGACATTTTCAGGTGGGTAGTTACCGTTGTAGGAGCCTTATGGAAGGTCTATATACCTTGTAGAAGCCTTATGCACCCTAAACTCCCCACCTGTAGTTTCCTTTAACAGGGTTTAGGGTTTAGGGTTTCGGGGCTTGGAACTTGAGAAGTCAGCTTCTGGCACACTCTGATGGTGGCGGTGGGATCTTGGGATCTCGTCTTGAGTCGGATTCCTTCTGTTGATGATATAAATCCTGCATTACCTTGAGGGCCCTAAACTACGGGAATTACGGCATATTCCTCACTATGGGAAATGCAGGATTTATATCATCATATTGGTTACCTGAATACTGCATTGCTGTTAAGGAACTTAAATTCAGAATACCATGATAAGGAAGCCCTGTTATGTTATGCTAACTTAAACTAAGCTCCGGAACGGCAACTCAGAAATAGCAGACATCAGACAGTGTCGCAGCGAATAAAATCCCATCCAGAACCCCAAGTCCGAGCTTATCAGCGAAAGCCGCACCCTAAACCCTAAACCCTAAACCTCAAACCCTAAACCCGGCCACAACCTAGACGACCTTCAAGCACGAAAGCTGCCTTGTCCAAGGGGAAGGGTTCGTGGGGCCGGGTCCACCTAACTGTGGTTTAGGGTTTAGGGTTTAGAGACTCGACATGACAGTGCAGATCGCTCTCCATTGCAATCCCTTGCAGACTTCAGTGTCATGTGCTTGTGACTACTACATCCATTAACTGACTTCTGACCGACATACCTTCTACGTGCCCGAACTTCTTTCCAGGGCACTGCCAGAGGGCGCTCATTGACGGCATCAAAAGGGAGGCTGGATTCCGGAGTTTCTAATCTGACTTAGTCATGACACCGCCTTTTTTGAAGCTTGTTCATGATTGAGTGCATGTTAGGTATTTGACGATCTGCTGTATGGTAATGGTGGTGTTGCCAAGTGCTTGGCCAAAGAGTGTCTAAGATGTTTCCGACCAGGTCATGCAGTCTAGTCAGGGAGGGCATCCCGCAGCCCCAAAGCCTCAAGACTGCTCTGGCCGATCGGTGTTCTGAAGCAAAGGTAGGGCAGCTTGACTGATGGGGTGCAGCGCAAGCTGCGAGACTCAAAGCCAGACGACTCAAAGCCAGACGGTGACGGTGTGCTACGTGCCGAACTCCTTCCAGTCACCTCCGACCCGAGCACTACCACCGGATGAGTCTACGCACAAGCAATACTTGCGAGAGCTCAACCTCTACCTCATCCGTGTGGCAAAGAACCCAGACGCTTTCCAGAGGAAGGTGGAGAAGCGTCGCAAAGAGGAGTTTCGCGACCTGTGGTGCCATACCGTAACCGGAGGTGCCACGGCACAAGATCAAGTCTAAGTGGCGGTCGTTGGCTTGTGATTGTTGATTGCAAAAGCCACTGATTCAGCCATCCTTGCTCTTGTGCGCAAGCCGCTAAGACCACTCTGCACCACCTTCTGATGTTTTTTATCAAGTGACCGGCTGTGGGTATGATGCCGAAGAGGGTATCTGTCCCGCAGTACAGCAGCACATCTGAGGAGCAGCGTACCTTGCGGCCACGGCGGTCGACGCCTAACCAAATTTCCCATTTCCAACCTCCCAGGAATCTGGGTGTTCGCAGGTTGAGTCTTGTAATCATCTTAGCCAGGAGTTGTCTCGATCGAGCTGTGATTTCTGTGCAGCCAACGCAACTCGCATGTGCATTTGTGCACTTGTAGCCCGCGGCTGAGGCATGTGGGCAGCCTTTGTGTCACCATTTCAACATAAGTTCGCTTTGCAGTTGGGGGCAGACATCTGGGACCTGGGAATCGATATGTGGCACTACAACGTCAGTCTTTGGCTGCCCCGCCTGCGACGAGTGGACTTTGCCTTTTATATCCAAATCTAGTCTGTTTAGCCTGTTGCCTGTCCCACAGAGCAGCAGCAGTATCAAGCGCAGCATGCCTCGTGTCTACGGCAGCCGACACCTTAACAATTTTACCCTCTTCATTCCCCTTGTCATCATGCAGAATGAGTGTTGCAACTCTTCGTCGAGCTGCCAGTTCTTGTGCAGCCGACTACGATTCATTCTTTACATTGTTATCCACGGCTGAATCACGTCGGCAGCTGTCGTGTCACCATTTCCATCCGAGTTCTCTTTCCAGTTGCAGGACAGCCGGGCAGACATTTAGGACCTCTTTGAGTCGGCATATGGCATATGGCACAGCAGCGTAAGCCTTCGGCTGCCCTGTTTGCAACATGTTCCAAAAGTGGAGTCGTCTTGGTTGCAAGCGGCGAAAAAGCGCTTACGGTTCACGATTGCCTTGGCTAAGTGCCCACCCGGGATTCCTCATCCATGCTGATCCTGCGAATGCGAAACTTCACATGCATCCATAATTCGGATTGCGCTGGTGTTGCAAGGAATCGAATAGTTTCAGCACCCGCTAAAGCCTAATCCCAAACCCTAATCCGAGAACAAACTAAACCCGCAAACTCTGTGCAAGTCGATGCAGACAGCTCGCAGAGTCCTGATTTGAATAAGATATGCGTTATAGGCTTAAACAACTACCAATAACAATAGTATTCCTTAAGGCTCCATACCAATAACAATAGTATTCCTTAAGGCTCCATATTGATATGTTTCTATTTTGTAATAACCATCCAAACCCTCTTCTAATAGCTAAAGCCCCTACAGTACTTCCTAGAGTCTGCTTTCTTCCCCCTGGTTTACCACACAGGTAAGCTCTTTGAGTAAAAGGATCTAAACTCGACATAGCTGTTCTGGGAGTCGGTGAAGACATCGGATGTAGTCATTACTGCCGGCGAATTTAGGGTATAGGGTTTAGCTTGCAAGGGTCGAGTCATTCCCTACCTAAGCTTCCAGGTGGTATTTTTGCGAAACTCCTCTTCACAATCTCTCAGCACGCCTCTTTCATGCCCGACGATCCTGCGACGCTAAACCCTAACCCCCTAAGCCCTAAACCCTAAACCCTAAACCCTAAACCCTAAACCCCTAAACCCCTAAACCCCTAAACCCAAAACCCTAAAGGACCCTAAGATAGCTCAAACCCCTCGTCAACTCCAGGGCTCCCAAGCTGAAGCCGGAATGGATGTACTTTTGATGGTAAAAAATCCTGCATTACCTTGGGTTTAGGGTTTAGGGTTTAGGGTTGAGGAGCCTAAACTATGGGAATTATGTGGGAATTAATAATTATGGCATAGTTTCTTATTGTGGGTAATGCAGGATTTAGATCATCAGCCGTATTGCTCGGAAACCTGGAAGGTTGCAGATGACCTTCACGGCGTGCTGCTTGACTAGAGGGTCTCTGCTCTTACGAGGGCTCTCCTTCAGGCTTTCCGATAAGGGATTAGGTTTAGGGTTTAGGGTTTAGGGTTTAGGGTTTAGGGTTATAAACGCAGCATTAGTGTGTGCAACCACTTTAAGGATCCCTCACAGGGCCCTAATTTAGAGAGCTACCCATGTAGGAAACCCTCATGGAACCCACCAACTGCTCAAGGCTCCCCAGAGAGCCCCTGGGGCTGGTGTAGGGTTTAGGGTTTAGGGTTTAGGGTTTAGGGTTTAGGGTAATTAAGGAATATAGCTTAAATCATAGGGGCCATCATATCATGATTTAAGGTATATTCCTAAATTAGGGTGCATTGGAATATACCCTTAAATTATAGGCACCAGAATATTATGATTCAAGGTATATTCCTTAATTAAGGTGTATTGGGCTCTTTGGGTCCTGTTCTTGGCCTTCATGGAGTCTTTGACCATCTACGGCCTATCTTTAACGGCTTTGAATCGGCTTGGAATGGGTTCAGACTAATCCCTAAACCCTAAATCCTAAACCCGATACCCCTAAATCCTACACCCTAAGCCCCTAAGTCCTAAATCCTAAACCCTAAACCCCTAAATCCTAAACCCTAGATCCTAAACCCTAGAGGTTTGGATGATGTTGGGCCCCCGATTGCCTACAAGAATATAGGCGTCTGGATAATGATTAGTTTTAGTACTTAGGGGTTTATAAATGGTTTAGGGTTTAGGGTTTAGAGAGTATTTAGGGGTTTTTAAAATGGTTTAGGGTTTAGGGTTTAGAGAGTATTTCCCTTGTAACCCTAAGCCCGAAAGAACCCTAAACCCTAGTATGATATAGGGGCTTGAATACTTAATACTAATATGTTTTTGTTTTGGGGGGGTGTTCCTTGTTATAGCTATAGTATAGTATACGCCCAAACCCTGTTCTAATGATTACGGCTCCTACACCCTCAACCCTTATAGTAGCCCAGATAGAACCCTTTAAGGAACCCTTAAAGGAACAAGAAAGCCCCACTCCAATTCTTGGTCCTTGTTGGCTACAATAATACATCTTTTATACTAGAAACTTTAAAATATAGCCCCAACAAAGAATCAGAATTGTGAAGGCCCCTACATTAGTCCCCGTAGCACTCCGAATCCTAGATCCTCAGCTGCAAGAAGTCACGCAACTCGAGCTCTCGTCTACCAAGGTTCTCCTCTTCGCGCACCCGGTGGATCACGGTTTAGGGGTTCAGGGGTTTAGGAAGTTTAGGGTTTAGGGCTTCGGAAGTTTAGGGTTTTGGGGTTTTGGGTCTAGGGTTTAGGCTTTGGGGTGCAAGATGACATCGATTGTCCAGGTTCCGAAACGACCAAAAGACGGTTCGATGCTCTACAACGGCCTAAACAGTCAGTCACGCTATTCTTCTAAGGTTCCTTACTGTAAAGATACTATGCCCCTATATTGCAACCCTTGCTAAGGTTTTGCGGGCTCAAAACCCTACTTAAGCCCTAAACCCCTGGACCCTAGTCCCCAAACACCCAACGCCGAAATTCAGTACCCTAAACCCCTAAACCCTAAACCCCTAAACCCTAAACCCCCAAACCCAAACCCACACCACCTTCTAAATCCGATCGCCCTTCTTCGGGACCCTCGGCTCAGCTCCAGTCCCCGTCAGCCACGCTCCCGCACCTTCCAGAAAGCACTCGAAACGACGCCCGGCAAAAGGGTTTAGGGTTTAGGCCTTAATAATTAGAATAGGGTTTTGAGGGTCCATACATGCCCGGTAATAAAGTTTCGTCGCATCCGCTTAGAGACACTAAGCGGAGTACGCGGAGTACAGCAGGTGAGGAATACCCTAGCCTGGCTAGCGGAGGAATTATCGCGCCGGAATGAA